CATACAGTAAAATAGTAACTACCTCATATATATATATAAATATATACACACACACACACACACATAAATATGTATACACAGAGAGACACACAAATTGCAAGGTTGGCAGTTCAAACCCACCAGCTGATCCGTGAAACAACGATGAGGCTTACCTGCTCTCTTAAAGTTTACAGTTATGGAAACCCTATATAGGACTGCTGAGGCAGAACTGACTCGCTGGCAGTGGGTTTGCTATATCGTATATATGTGTGTATTTTTATACATACGTATGCTGCTGTGGTTGTTAAGTGCCCTTGAGCTGGTTCCAACTCATAGCGACACAGAGTGGGCTGGTGGGCTTTAACCACAGACCTTGTGGTTAGCAGTTCAGTGCTTATCCTACAGCGCCACACCAGAACTCCATATATATATATATATATGTATACATATATATATATATTCGGTGCATATGTATATACTTGTATAGGGTTTTAGAGGAGCGGCTGGTGGGTTTGAATAGCCAACTTTGCAGTTAGCTTGCAGGCAGCGGTCCAGTGATTATCCTACAGCACTGTACAACAAAGGCACTTAACAACATAGAGATCTTGCCGTCAGCAGCCCAATGCTTAACACAATGAGCCACATAAATACATTATGTGCCATGCAGTGGGGTCAAGCACTGGGCTGCTAACTGCACTGTCAGTGGTTCAAACCCAACAGCTGCATGTCTTTGTACTCCCATAAAAGCCTTACCGTCTCAGAACCCTCCCGAGCAGTTCTTCTCTGCCCTGCAGGGCCGCTCTGAGTCAGTCTGGTGCTAACCTAGGAGGGCCAGCACTGCTAAGTCTCCACCGGTGACTCTGGCAACATGGTTCTGGCTGAGAACCACAGTGTATTTCAAATACTTTTCAGCATGTTCCAGTTTACGTGATGGCTCCGAATCAAAAAGAAAATAACCTGGGGCCCTTAACTTGAAGTTCTAGTTCAGAATATTTGGCTCCATCAATGAATCTTGTTTATGACTCTCCTGTCAAAAATGTAGTTCTTTTCCTTTGAAAATGGGAAGCAAAAGTTTTGGTTGTAACTAACTTAAATTGCAGTTTAAAAGATGTTCTACATAAAATCACAGCATGAACAATTAGGGAAACATGTTAATTATCTGCCAAACTGCAGTATTATAGTACTGAGTAATTATGATTATTTGTGATAATTTGGTTTTTATTGTGCCTATGGTTACGAATCGGGCTGCGAACCGGAAGGTCAGCAGTTCGAAACTACCAGCTGCTCCACGGGAGAAAGATGAGGCGATCTGCTCCCGTAAAGATTTACAGCCTCGGAAACCCTATTCAGGGTCGCTATGGGTCGAAACCGACTCGACGGCACTTAACAACAACAACAATCTTGAAAATGATCTCCTATGTTACGCAAACAAATATTTATTTTTAGAGACATAAGATGCTGATTTCTTATTTCAAAAAATTCAAAGTCAACTGGACATTTTTAAATCTAGCACCCAATAAATAACAGTGATGAAGGCACATAAGGTGTAACAACTTTTAATTAAGTATTAGATTTAATTGTCCATTAAAGTCTGTGCCCATCAAAAACACACAGTGAGAAAACCATCAAAAGTTCCAACTCATTTAATAAGTTGAGATGGACAGGACATTTATTAAGAAGTTTCACTGAGTAAAATGCAAACAGTCTCCTTGAACTGAACATCAATTTCAATATCCTATTTCTGGGAGTCTAAGATACTTTTAGGAGCTGTGGGAGCGTAATAGGTTACGAATCGGGCTGCTAACAGCAGTTCGAAACTACCAGCTGTTCCATGGGAGAAAGAGGAGGCTTTCTGCTCCCAAAAAGTTTTACAACCTCAGAAACCCTGTACAGGGTTGCCAAGAGTCGGAACTGACTCCAAAGCACATAATAAGATACTTTTGCCCACTATAAGATCTCTGAGGACTCCTGATGTGGTCCTGTAGGATCAGCATTGGACTTTGAATCACAAGGTCAGCAGCTCAAACCCACCAGCTGTTCCTCGGAAACCCTATGCTGTTAAGTGGTGCTGAGTCAGTTCCGACTCATAGCGACTTTGTATAGGGTTTCCAAAGAGCAGCTGGTGAGTCTGAACCACTGACCTTCCATTTAAACCAACCTATAGTCTAGTGCTTATCTTATAGCACACCTCACGAGGACTTCTGGAAACCCTATACAGGGTTGCTCTTAGGGCATTTAGCATCTCTGAATGAGGGCCTGTGGCTTGTAGCCACTAGTATGCTTTTTTGGAATGACGATCACTGGCAACTTGTTGTGTTTTGTGCCATCAGTGGATTTCAACTGCCAGTGATCCCATGACAGCTAGAATCGCTCTTTCAGACCAGATGAAATGTGTCTATTTAAAAATAAAAAAAACAAAAAGCACAGCTTTTTCAAATTTAAGAGGTAACTTTTTCTTTGTGAATATTACAAAATACTTCCACCACCCAAACACCCCTAAATGTGTGGTTCTATGAACTGTAGTATTTTGAATAAGTAAAATAAAGTAAATAAATTTAATGACGTAACTAAAAATTCTAAGAAAAAACTGCTCTAATAAAAATGTAAGGGCTTAAATAATGGACAAATATCAATTAAATACTACATTAAGTCATTTCCAGAGTTTTCATAAAAGAATTTTATATGATTTCCATCTTCCATTACAAATCTTTTGAAGCATTTGTCCACCCGACATGTGGAAATAAAATTAGGATAAAAGAGCATTTTACCTATACAACAAAGCTAAAAACTTTCTTTGTAGTAACATAAGCTTCTCTCTACAAACTAAGCAAAGCACAGTATATATATCTATGCTAAGAACAGATTCCAATGTGTGATGCAATGTTTAGAGACATAAGAACCATTTAAGACTTAATGGATAAATTCACTAATATACACAGCAGAAAATAAAATGACCTCTTTCTAACATGTCACAAACTAAAATGCTAGGTGATGTGTTGCCTAATGTAGTTACTGCCTGCAGCACTTCTAAACCTATTAAAATGGCTAGGCTGCTTCTTGCATATTTCCAATTGTTAACTTTTCAGTGACAGAACTGTGGTCCAAGTACAGCATCAAGAAAGTGACAAGTCCCAGGTCAAATTTATCAAAGGTGGACAGTCAACTTTGCTATTCATCACTCGAGAAAAAAAGAAAAGTGGATGTTATTATCCACTGGGAAAATTCAGTATGAAGAAGAATATCCAAGAAAACTAGGACAAAATGGGAACAAGCACACAAGGATTTCTTCTGCTCTCATAAGAGCATCATCACACACTGATGAGGTGGTTCTCACTGCTGGCATCTTCACACCAGTGCGACACGTAAGACACGTTCAGATGTCAGGTTTGCACATGAAGGTCCAACAGTGACTTACTTACAAAAAAAGGCTTGGGATTAACAATTATTGAAAGGTCTTTCATTTATTATTACTGCTCAATCCAAGTGAATGGGACTTGATGATAAACGGAACTAAAAGGGTTTGAGAGAAATCCCAATGTAATTTCCTTACAGAGGGCTAATCTTTCCTCAACAATAAAATGCCAATGCCTGTTTTTCTCTTTACCTCAGGGACAGATCTCAAACCAATTCAAATTAATATTATATTGGGTAATGTTAGAGAGGAACACCAGGGAAGTTTCTACTCTCAACCACTTTTCCAAACAACAAAATAAATGATCTCTATCCAGAACTTGTAAAAAACAATTTCCTTTTGGGCCAGAAACCTTACAGCTCTTAGAGTCATCTAGGTCACAGACTGTAGGCAAGAACAATTCCATTTAAATGATTGGTATGCTCTTTTTGAAGGCTTGATGAAAAGGAAGCAAATGAAGAATTGTTTGAAATGTATAGAAAACAAAATGCCTATTCCGAAAACCAAACTAAAGCCTCCTATTATAAACTATGGTCTCCTGGTGTGGTGCTGTAGGGATCAGCACTGGAGTGCAAACCACAAGGTCAGCAGTTCAAGCCCACCAGCTGCAACTCGGAAACCTTATACAGAGTCTCTATGAGCCAGAACCGACTCGACAGCACTTAACAACACACATATATGTATGTGCGTGTGTGTGTACTTATGTGTGTGTGTGTGTGTGTATATATATATACGTATACACACACGTATGTACACACATATATTTATTTATATGAAGTTGCTTCAAAAGTATGTGGATAAATGGAATTAAATGATGATGGAATTTTTCCACTAACATTCTGAAGCCCCTTCATGTAACGTATAAAACCAGAGGAGAAACAAAACAGCAAATGAATGGAAACTGTAAAGCAAAAACACACAGGAAATTAACCCCCGCTTCTCCTGCTACCTCAGAGGCTAATCTGAGCAGTGTCACTCGGCGCCTACAGAGCACAGGATGGACCGGATACATTCACCAGGACCACGGTACAGTTTGTGCTGTTAGTTCTGGTCTTTAGAAATTCACTTCAGACAACTGACCACTAAGTACAATAGTGCCAGCGCAATCTACAGAGAATAGCAAGTAGAGTGTCAAAACAACACAATGCAGGCAGCATTGGTGTGAGATCTGGCTTCATGCTGATCTAGATTAGAAAGAATTGGCAAACTCTGACCTATTTCTGCTCAGTATTTCCTATTTCATTTACATAAAGACCCGGGGCAAGAACTATCAGCAGTGCTGTTAAGTTTCTCTCAGGTTTTACAGAGAGTATCTTACCTAAGCTTTTTCAACTTTCTGTTTTTCACTGTATGTTCATGAAAATAAACATACAGAAAAGTAGAAAACTTGACACATGACTACACAATACACATGCAAAGGCATGACACACACACTAGCGAGACTGCAGGACTCGGATACCAAAGTACACGCTTTCTCCAGCCTCCAGTTCCTGCACTGTGGTTAGGAGTCAGATAAAACTTTTCAACAAGTAAGCACATGCTACTTATGATGCGAGGTTTTCAGCAGAATTTTGTAGGTTAAAAAAAGAATACAATTCCTAGAACACTGTTATCAAACAAATAAGTTTTATTGGCATCTAAAAACAAAACTCACCCAACATTGAAACGCACTTTAATATTTATGGTGATGTTTTTTCTTTGTTCTTTTTGCGCACTGCAGCGTGAGGAACATATCACAAACACTCACTTTGGAGGGACAGAGACCATAGTGCAGATTTTACAAAACCACTGATTGAAATCTCTGTACTGTGCTCCTCGAATACCTAAGTCTTTGCATAAAAGATCACAGCTTTGTCTATTACCTTAAAATTCTGCAGCAGCCTAAAGATATGGGTCAGATATACCACCACTTGCTATTTTCAAATATATCTATTACCATATCCAACCTAATGGTAGTAGTTAAAAAAAATTCTTTCTTCCATAGGAAGTCTCGGACAAGCTGTTACTCATTTCCTTGAAGTTAAAAGAATCTGGGGGCAACATTTATATTTACCAGAAAAATAAAAAAATGTTTACCTACCATGTTCATAGTAAGAACAATGTCTATACAAGTCAGTTGTACAATTATTGTAAGAGAAAGGTGAACATGAACATCAGATTAACTTAATTCTGGCAGACAAAAGTGAACAACTATGGTCCAGTCAGCCATTAATCGATTACAGAGAGATGACAACTTTACAAAAGGTATCTTTTACCTACTGAGTGATGATTATGTCCCCTCAGTTTCTGTGCTTTCTACCACTGGTTCACTTTCTACATCAGCAACTGTGTCACTCTTCTCCTTGTTGACCTCACTTGGAGAGGTCAGTCTCTCATAGAGCTCAGGATCCTTCTGCACTTGTGGAGGCGGGGGAGGAGCATGTCTCTCTGTGTTTTCACCATTCACCTGAGGCACATGATCACCTTTGCGTTGAGAAGTGGCCCCTTCAAAATAATCAAAAACCCGAGCATGGGGAGGCGGGACCCAGGTGTTTGGAATTCTATCCCGTCCAAGACGATTTCCATTCATCTCTCGACAGAAATCAAAATCTCTGTCATCCCTATCCCTCTGCCTCTCCCAGGGTCTTCTGCGGTCATCAAAATCTCTGTGAACTTCGTGTCCAAATCCTCTGTTCCAAGGACCACTTCTAGGATCAAATCTATAGTTTCCAGGCCGAAATCTACCTCTTTCTTCATGTAAGCCTTTTGGACCACCATAGACAGGTAGAACTCGATGCTCCCTTTCATCAAAATCTCCTCTGTGGCCCCAGGGCTTCTCTGGATTAAAGCCAAAATGGTCTCTTCGACCAAGATGATCTATACCTGGCCTCACAAGGTTCTCTCTCATATCTACAGGTGGTCTTCCAAAATGATCCCTCCCATCTAGCGGAGGTCTTCCAGGACCTTCTCTTGGATCCACAGGCCGCCCGACCACATCCCTAACATCCACGGGGGGAGGTATACTCAGGCCTTCCCTGGTCTCTATCGGAGGAAACCGATAGTCTCTGTCACCTTCTTGCTGAATGTTATCACTGCCGAGCGGCAACCTCTTTTCTGGATTAGGAACACTGTCAATAGCTGGCCTTCCAGGAGCTAGAAAAGGTCTTTCGGGATGACTGAAAAGATCTCCTGGAGGGAAAGGTCCACGGGGTGGTGGGTGAAGAGCTGATTCAAGTACTGATGGGGGAGGGAGTCCTCGGTGGGGTGGCATTCCAGGCTGCATTAAAGGGAATCTTGGTCCAGGTGCCTGAGGTAGCAGTCCTGGACGAAGGTCTAGCATTGGCATTGCGGGCATTCTTTGAGACATACTTAGAGGGGGTAAGTTTTGAGGGCCAGCTGGTGGCTGCGTTGCCAAAAGTCCAGGTGCATTTGGAACATTTGGTGGTTGTAGTCCTACAAGTCCAGAATTATTCGGCATGTGTGGAGGTAGCACTCCCAAAAGTCCAGAGCTACTTGATACACTTGGTGGCTGTAGTCCCAAAATTCCAGAGTTATTCAGCATATTTGGTGGCTGGGCTCCAATTACCCCAGAACTAATGCTCGGGGCATTAGAGGGACGGACTCCCAAAATTTCAGAATTACTTGAGACATTTGGTCTTTGGACTCCCAAGATTCCAGAGTTGCTGGTCATGTTTGATGGCGGTCCCCCTAACATCGCAGGGCTACTTGAAACATCATTTGGAATCACTGAAATAAAAACAGGAGAAACAAACTTGTAAATATTCACAAAATTAGTCATTTGATATGAAAAGAACAACATATTTAGAATAATTGTTAGCATTTCTAGTAGTCAGACCACCTACTTTTATGACTCAAAAATCAAGGTGTACTAGATATGAAATAAAAATTAAAACTAAAATAATTAATACTATCCAGAGTAATATTTTATAAATGGGGATGAAATTGTGAAAAGAAATTTAAATAAATCGTAAGGTTGTAATTTTCTACCTTTGACAAAAACAGATACAATCTTAACATTTTAACCATGGTATCTCAATAAAGTGCTATTTTCAAACATCCTAGAATTTAGTTTTTGTTAGAAGTTACTGACATCTACTATTTCTTCATTTGTACCTTCCTACAAAATAGGATAATGTTCATATGCCCACTAAGAAAGGCATGTACTGTGCCTGTTATTTAAATTTACATATCAACCACTAATGCCAAAGATAAAGAAACTGATCAATCATGCAACCAACATGCAATGATAATTACTGGTGACTGGAATTCAAAAGTTGGGAACAAAAAAGAATAGGTACTTGGAAAATGTGGATTTGGTGGCAGAAATTATGCCAGAAAACAGGTGATGGAATTTCACAAAACCAAATGTACTCCTGGTGTGGCATTACAGAATCAGCACTGGACTTTGAACCACAAGGTCGGAAGTTCAAACCCACCAGCTGCTCCTCAAAAACCCTATTTAGTTAGAACCTACTCAACGCCACTTCACAACAACTGTTGTTGTTAAGTGCCGTCGAGTCGATTCCGACCCATAGCGACCCTGTATAGGGTTTGCAAGGAGTAGCTTATGGATGAGCTTGAACCACCGACCTTGCAGTTCTAACAGCTTTGCAGTCTGGCGCATTCACCCACAGTGCCACACCAGGACAACAATACTGACATAATAACTGCAAATAACATTAGTCAACATAAACAGCAACTATACACGTGGCACTCACTAAGATGGAACACACAGGAATAAGACAAGGGAGAAACCAACGCAAGGCCAGGAATTGGCTGCAGAATAGATCACCAACTGTTCATGTTTAAGATGAAGTAAAGCTTAACAAAATTAAGTCAAAGTACAACCCTGAGTAACCTTGAGTGTATCACACCTGAATTTAGAGAACATCTCAAGGTAAGATTTAAAGCATGAAACACTAATAACTGAAGATGAGCTGTGAGGTGACATCACACATGCAAACAACGGGCAATAAAAAGAAAGGAAGGAAAAGACCAATAGGATGTCAGAAGAAACTGAAACTTAATCTTGAGCATAAAGCAAATAGAACAAATCATGAGGCAAAAGAGCTGAACAAAAGGTTTCAAAAGTAGGTTAAGGCAGCAACGTACTATAGTGAAATATACAATTCTCAAGCTGGGAAAAAAAAACAAAAACTGAAGAAAAAAACTTTGCCTCAAGCTGAAATACAGAAGAATTCTTTGGGCAAAATAATGAACAATTCAGAAAGCACCAAGGGAAGGTGGGAAAAACACACAAGACTCACAGTACAGGTGATTGCCATTTAACCATTTCAGGAGGTAGAATATTACCAGGAAATCAATTCAATGGTACTCAAGAAGAAATCCAAGTTGCACTGAAGGAACTGGAAAAAAAGAAGATTCCAGGAAACAGGGAATCAAAATTGAAATGTTTCAACAAACAGGTAAAGTAGCCAGAGGTGTTGATGCCAAGAGGTTTAGAAGACAGCTATTTGGTCAACCAGCTGGACAAGAGCCATATCCGTGACCACTGCAAGGAAAGGAGAGCCAACGGGATGTACAAATATCTAACGGTATCATTACTATCACATTCAAGGAAAATTTTGCTGACGATAATTCAAAAACTGTTGCAGCAGTACATCAACAGGGAGCTGTCAGAAATTCAAGTCAGATTCAGAAGAGGATTTGGAATGAGGGCTACCAACTGCTGACGTCCAAGGGATCTTGGCGGAAGCAGAGAATACCAAAAGAGGTTTGCTTGTGTTTATTAAACTATGCAAAGGCATTTGACTGTACGGATCATAACAAACTACTAATAACATTGCCAGCAGAACACTTAACTGTGGTCATGAGAACCTGTACATAGACCAAGAGGAGGTGGGGTCAGCAGTTCTATCAGAACAAGGGGATACTGAATGGTTTAAAATTAGGAAAAATGTGGGTCAGGGTTTTAGCCACTCTCTATAGTTACTCAATCAGTATGCTAAGCAAATAATCTCAGAAGCTGGACTGCAAAGAAAAGAATGTGACATCAAGATTGGATAAAGACTCATTAACAACCTGTGATATGCAGATGGTACAATCTTGCCTGCTGAAAGGGAAGAAACTTGAAGCACTTGCTGATGAAGATCAAAGACTAAAGCCATCAATGTAGGTTAGGCGTCAAATGCCAAGAAAAAAATTCTCACAACTGGATCAGTAAATAACATATTGGTTAGCAGAGAAATGACTCAAGGTGTCAAGATTTTCTCTTACTTGGATCTACAATCAATGCCATGGAAGTAGCAGTCAAGAAATCAAGCATTGGGCAAATTGGCTACAAACGACCTCCTCAGAGTACTGAAGAGCAAAGATATCACTTTGAGGAGTTAAGGTGTGCCTGACCCAAGCCATGCTATTTCCATTTACCTCATACACATGCAAAACTCTGGACAACAAGGAAGACGGATGAGAAATTGAGACCTTTGATTTATGGGACTGGCAAAGAATATTAAATGTACCATGGAGTGCCAGAAGAAGAAGCATACCACTCTTGGAAGAAGTACAACTAGAGTGCTCCTTAGAAGGCAGACTAGCAAGGCTTCATCTCTCATATTCTGGACATGTACACTAGGAGTGACCAGTCCCTGGAGAAGGTTATCATGCTTGGGAGAATGAGCCAAAGACAGGAAGACCCTCAACAAGGTGGACTGTCAGTGGCTGCAAATGGCTCTAATATAATCATGACTATGAGGATGGTGCCAGACTGGACACAGCTTTGTTCAGCTATATAGAGGGTTGTGATGAGTTGGAATCTAGTTGGAGGCACCAAAATGCAAGTATACAGATTTTGTGCAACCATACTGGACAACACACTTAAGGAGTCCCAAAAGGCAAAACAATCGAACAAACACCCCAGGTTAAACATACACTATGCTCATGAAAGCAAAAAATAATTGTAATAATAATTTCAGTAGAAATTTTAGAAGATTGTGATCTTCTAGAAAATCACAACACTTTAACATGTATGCACTAAGTTAGTCACAAAAGTATACCACTACAGAATGAACACCTACAAAGAGAGGTGGTGTTCATCATTTAATTCTAGTTCTGGGGTTGTGCTGTTTTGCTTAATCTTTACCTGCTCTGGGGTTTTCACCAGAAGAAATCTGGTGGTCTGTAAGATGAGGTCCTTTTTCTTCTGGCTCGCCTGGTTTAGTTGGAGGATTAAAAACATTCCCAGCTGGCAGTGTAGAAGGAGCAAGACTGCTGGCAACAGAACCACCTGGCAAAACAAGGCTACCAAAAGCAACATCTTTCACAGTTTCTGGCGTCATGGACAATGGCGGCTGCACTAAAGCTGTTTAAAGAGGAAAATAGATTTCAGATTTAATTAATTAATCCTTTCATTGGCCCTAAGGTAAAATAGTACCTGGCCTAGTCAAACCTGTAAATATTCTTCCTAGCCTCTCCTCAACTTTTGAATCACTGGCCTACTGAACATGGCATATGTGCATTCTCTCTTGGTCATGTGACTAACTTCTGGCAGCCTCACTGGTTCATTTAATGGCATCTCTGTATTACTAAGCACACAATGTGTAATAACAGATGTTCAAAATTACAGGTAATAATCATGGAAAGCCTAAATCACCGTTACAAAAGCTTTACTTGCTAAAATATCAAGAGAGTCACACTTTTGAAAATATTTTCATCAAAGGTCACACCTATCGGCCAAGAGGCAGAGTGGCTCATAAAATAAATGCTATCTGATGAGTACTATGCTACTCTACAATCATGTAACTGAGACCGAAAAGTCACTGTTTAGCTAAGACCAATATGAGACAGGCAGGAGAGGACACACAGGAACAAGGAAGCTAGATTCATGGAAATGAAACTACCAGAAAGGAATCATGAGAATAATGCTGACACATTGTTTATTAATGTGTAGTCAGAGTCAACAATGCTTACGAAATTGTTGAATGAGAGCTTCATTTGCTATGTAAATATTTCCTAAAATCAAAATTATTGAAAAAAAGTTTTCATCAAAAATGCTTAGTGAAGTTGAGATCAGCACTTAAAAAGTAAATTCCAGTCATGAGAAAAGTCATCATTGTCCAAGGATGCCCGACAAATGACTACCTAAACACACAGGCTGACAAGTAGGTATGAGAATGACTATCAGTCTAACTTCTTTGAAATTACACCGTGCTCTCTGGTAGCGTAGTGGTTACAAATTGGGCTGCGAACCTCAAGATCAGCAGTTCGAAACTACCAACTGTTCTGCAGGAGAAGATGAGGCTTTCTGCTCCCATAAAGATTTACAGCCTCAGAAACTCTATACAGGGTCGCTATGAGTCGGAACCGACTCCATGGTACATAACAACAACAACCTATTAATTAACTCTAGATGAGCACACCTACCCAGATGAATAGCACACAGCAGAACTGGAGAACAGGGATAAAACCACCTCTGGTCTGTAATGGAACTGTTCAGAGTGCATGTGACAAGACAAGTCATCGGGGGAGCTTCTGTGCACAGCCAATTTCTTCTGATTTTCCAAAAAGAAGAAATTGGGAATAAATAACTGGGAGCTAATTTCTAGGATGAACCTCTTTGAAAAATAAATTCAGAAATGGGTGTGAACAATTCTTCCGAATGAACGACTGGAAAGAAAGACTGTGATGCTACCTAGGCCTTGAGGAGAAGACGGCCTTTAGACAGGAGGATGAGTGAGAACAGAAGGGAAGCTCTGTGTCCAGCACACACTTCCTCAAGTCCTGACCGAGTGCTAAGTCTCCACACAAGTCTGCCTCAATTGCCAAGGGTTTACTCAGAGTCCTGAAAATAACTCTAGGTAAAAACATTAACTAAAATTAATAAGAAGAGTATTTGACATTTCTGAAATGCCCCATGATAGGAAGAAAAAAAAAAGAGTCATAAGAAAGCTAATAAACATCTGCAAATGTTTACATTGAGGTTGGTTTGCAGTCCTTTTGAAATGTCTACTCTAGGGAAGAAACTATAGGCATCAAAACCAGGCAGGCTGGGGTGTATATTCCATTAAAATGCAAAATAAAAGTTAACTCACAAACATGAAAAGTTGATGTCACAACTACACAAGAGAATGATTATTTCAGTGACCCTGGGAAACGACACTTTGGATCCACACATTCCAAGTGAATTTCTATTCTGAAGACAAAAAAAGCAGCAGAGAAATCTTAGTTTCCTCCAGCGGTCTCATTGCTGGCAGTAACACCCGGTTTCTATTTTCATAATACAGTGTGTGCGTCTATTGTAGAGTAATCCAAACGGGTTAGCATGGTAATGTTTTCAGCAATGTGAATACAGAAAAGTATAAAAAAAACTCAAAGCAGCTAACTAAAAAATTCCTATGTTAAAGTCTGTTGTGAATATTTTGTATACTCATCCCCACCCAGCAAAAAAATAAGTAACAAGAAACCCTCCTAGACTCAATCAAAATCCAAGAATAAAATGAGACTGATACCTAGATGGGGGTGTCTCACTTCTGTGCTCTCCTTAAGAAAATGGTTCTTTCTCAGATTGAAGCAGAAAATACACAACATTAGTCTAGAACAAATTGGGACAAAAAGCAAAGAAGCTCTCAGAAAAAATGTCATGTCAAAAGAATAGAAAAGTAACATGAAAGTCTCTGGCTGTCCAAAGATGGGACATTCTGAACCTTAAAAAAAAAAATGAATGCAATGAATTCAAAGCAATAATCAATTCACACATACTTGACAAAAGAAATAAACAAGAAAGAGGGAAGGAAGAAAGAGGAACAGGTAGAGAAGGAGACATTCCTCTCCCCCCTCACTTCAGTCATTGGCTATCATTAGAAATGATCACAGCACATCCAGGGAGGGATCCCTGGACGCCCCAAGGATCAGCGACCTAACTGCAGGGTGAAAGGTCACAGCCTAAAAACACTACAGAGCAGTTTTACTCTGTACACATGGGACCATCACAACTCCAAATCGACTTCACAACAACTAACCGCATTCACAACAGAAGAAGAACTAAAAAACGTTGGAGAACAAAAGAGAAGCGAGAGACAAAGCAACCCCCTGAAAAGTGTCGATGCAAAAGGGAAACGCAGCATCTCCGCTGGTTTTACACACACTAAACTTCCAGATAACTAACACTAGCTGGCAAGAGAAAAAGTTTTCTTTATAGAAAAATTCTAGTTAATAAATGTGAAAGGAATTACGGAAGTAGGAAAATCAGTATTTTGCAACAAATGGAAATTAGATTCAAGTAACAATGATCAATAGGTAAATGTATTAGATGAAAACTTGGAAGGGAAACTTTAATCAGGTTCCACTATGTGAAAGATACGATCCATCCTAACATCATGAAGCGAGGGACAATAAGGTACTGTGTGCCTCCTAATGTGAAACACTATCAAGGGTACAGCACCCACCAGTGAAGGAGTCTTGCTCCCAAATTTTCAACAAGCATCTAATAAAGCCTTTGGTGGTAACTTTCATTTTACATTAAATATCAGGAGATGAAGGAATAAATTCAATACAACAACAGACACACACAAAAAAAACCCAATAACAAAAGAAAAGAAATTTAAAAAATTCATTGCATGGGATATCATATAGACATGAAAGATTAAACAAAGCAGGGTCTGAGCAGGACTGTTCTGGATTAAGAAATTTAATAAACAAAAACAAAATAAATAAGATATACGAAAGATCTTTGAATTTTGAGTTAAATTAATTCTAAAAAGCCACTTTTGAGATAACTTGTCAACTTTCAATATAGACTGGGGATTATGATCCTGTTAATGCTTTGTTGTTGTTTCCTACTGATAGTGACCCTGTTACACGGTTTCTGAGGCGTGGGAGCAGAAAGCCTCATCTTTCTCCTGCGGAGTGGCGGGCAAGCTCGAACTATGGACCTTGTGGTTCATAGTCCAGTGCTTACTGTGTGGAGCCACCACGTCCTCTGTGAATGTTTCAATTTTAGAAAGCATGAAATAAAAAAATGAGCTTCACAATAAAAGATTTAAAACAATTCACCAGAACGCAAGCTGACACATTACTATCATGCCTAAAGAAAAAACCCTAAAATTCGAAGACTCACATGTTGGTACTACCGGTGGAATCGTCGGCGGTGGGACAACAGGTGGTGGAACTGGGGGTGGCATGAAACCTACACAGAATAAAAGAAACAGTACAAGAAAAATTATTTTTAGAAACCAAAGATTTCTATAATAAAGTGGTCTTTCATGACTATTTGTGTACTCATTTTCTATTTACAAAATGCTTTTAAATACTACTGCATTTGAGTTGGCCCCCAATTTATGGAAACGCTGTGCATACCAGAAACACACACTGCCAGTAAAGTGCCTTCTCTCTGGCTGGTTTTTCAGCAGTACATCACCAAGCCTTTTTCATCGCCTGTCTTAATCTGGAAGCACCCATGAAACCCGCTCCATATCACAGCAACACACAAGCCCCCAATGACAGACAAGTGATGGCTACACATGAAGTACCCTGGTTAGGAGGTACCCTGCATCTCACACATCTTTAAGCATAGTATATATATATATATATATATTATACAGACTCTTTACTGAGTCTTCAAAAAGAAAAAGAACAAGATACTACAAATCCCCCAGGTGGGGGAAATCAGATGCCATGATGAAGTTCCAATGTTCTACCTCCCTGCGGTGACCTCTGATAGGACACAGAGAAGGAATCTCCTCCCATAACCACAGCTGACAGCATCACTGACTCGCATACACATACAGGGAGAGGACTATTGCAGGTAGGAAAGCTTACAGTCTCTGAGACTCTCAGAGACTGTAATAACATCACCAGGTAATCATTAAGGGTGTGCCCACGAAAGTTCCAGCCAAAGCTAGTCAGAAGTGGCCCAGAAGCCATGTTTTAAATACTCTGCTTCTAACTCTGGCAGGTCAGCTGTCAGAGGTCCATGAGGTATTCAAGAAAAATTGGGACTGCTGGACACTAAAACCTAGGTTAAAGGTGGGCTTCAGCTCTGCCTGGCTGGAGTTGTTCAAAGGCAGAAAGTCTTCAGATTTCACGTTCTATAGCAACCACCAAGGGCCAAGATAAGTAAGGAAGAGTGACCCTTATCATGAACATTCTATTTATTTACTCATCCTATTTACGGATCCCTTCCCGTTATGTGGCACTTTCTAAAATGCTGTAAGGCAAAGATCATTACAAGCCAAGTAATGTGGTTATGCACCAACAATGACTATGTGGGGATCAAATAAACACTGGTTTTCACGTTACTTTTCACATGATATGCAATAATGTCACCTGTCAAATACGACAATGCCTTTCTTCGATACACACAGTAACCACTAACTCAGAATAGTATTAACTGATCTTGGGCAGTTCACTATGATGCCATGTTTTGAGCACTGGAATAAACCTTTAATTTATTATTGGCTTTTTCATGATTTTAAATCAAGTAACCAATCTAGAATTTTACTTGCTAATATTTTTTGAAATTGAAAATCATTAATAAATCCATTGTAAAACAATGGCAAAAATAAGGGATGAGACACTAAATTGCTATCATCTTGTCTAGATGGGTCTGGTGAAAGGAGATGGGGATAAGATTCGTAAGACTCAGTAGTGAATTACTGTTATCATGACTAATCACAACTGTCACAATTGTAAAGGTAGAAGTTTTGTAACAAAAATAAAGGGGAGTGATTAATCTTACAGTCCAGAAACAGAGGACCCTAGGACCATCAAGAGAGGAATACACAAATAGAATGTGGGACCTTATCCAGAGAAGCAGCAGCACCAGAGATGGAGGTAGAGATGGGGGCATGGAGACCCTAGATTCATCAACTAAGAAGAGAAGGACTAAGAACTGGTGGCCAGGAGCAGACTTGCAGAATGTGCCCTTTATTATATATGCCTGAATGGGTTTTTTGTTTGTGTGTTTTTTTTAAAAAAAAAGCTAAAGTGGATAAAGAGAAATACTTTTAACTGATGGTATATGGAGGGGATTATAATCAATGTAATGAAACAAGTTATATGAAGTGTTGCATGTGAAACTGATGATGTGCCCTGTAAACTTTCACTCAATCCACAATAAAAACCTTAAATTAAAAAAATAAATAAATAAATAACATAAGAACAACAACAAAAAAATAAGGGATGAGAGAAGTGATTTTTCAACATGTGTGATAGGCCATGCCTTTGTAAGATTTATGCAGTTTGGTTTTATCAAATCAGTTGTAAAACATATTCTAAGAAATTAAATTTTAAATTGCAAACTCAGAAGTATTTGATAGGAATAATTTTTAATATTAAAATTGAAAGAACAAAATTCTTATTAACCTGCCAACTTTAAATTCTCATATCATAATTTTTAATTTCCACATTATATATCAAATTACAACCATTCTCAATGAGTCCATTTTTTTTCATTTTACTGGCACATTTAAGAAGTGTATGCAATTGGTCAAGAACTAAAACTTCAGAAAGCACCCTTTAAAACCTGTAAGTAATTCATGAAATTCAAAAACAGAAGAAGTTTGAGTCCGTTTGTAACTCTCCCTCATTCTCATAACACCCCACGGCCAAATACTAAAAGCTCTAATCTCTAAGCAGTACAAGTAGCTACTTAACTGTAAGATACAGGTTAAGTCATTTTTCATCTTTATCTGGAAACACTGATTCACAGAACTTCTGTTTATTAAAAAAATTATTTTTCAAAAGTACTGCAAATGTAACTAACATTTAGAGTGTTTACAAATTCATATAAATGTATTTTACATATAAATACATATAAATTTCTAATGTTAAAATGGACATTTATGTTTAGTAGGGGCAGTTTCTGATGGGTGATAATTACGGAGAACTTGCATGTGAAAACTATACTAGTTAAACTTAAAGAGTATCCCAATGATTTTGAAAGATTCTGACTTCCTTTCTGTCTCTACTTCCCAAAATATAGTCTTCCAGAAACCTGAATCACCTGAGAATTTGTTTGAACTGCAAATTCTCGGACTCACACAGACTGATTATGCAGGTATTCTGGGGTGGGGCACAGCTGTCTGCTTCAAGAAGCCCTCCAGGTGACTCTGATACAGGCAAAGCTCTGACAACCATTGTTCTGTGGCATTTATGTGTGGAGAAAGGCCAACTATAACAACTTTCTAAAAAGAATTCAAATAATAAAGTATCACCAGAATTCCTTACCAGGAGGTGGTTGTGAAGGGTTAAAACTTGCACGAAGAAAAGGCGGTGGGGGCAGTGGACTGAATCCAGGAGGCGGAACCGGCATTGACACAGGAAACGCTGGTGGGACTAAACTAACCGTGGGCACAGCTGGTGCGACTGGAATCTTTTGGAGATAAAAAAAAATAGCGAACATCATTTTATCTACCTGCATGATCACACCTTGGGAAAAATAAAAGGCATATATATTACTTTTTTACTTAGGAAGGTAACAAATACCTTTACAGAAATTCCCTTTCTTGTCTTACACCTACGTTGTAAGTGAACCTTCTTGGGACAAAGGCAATGGAATGCTATTCAGCGGATAGTTTACTTGGAGATACCTACCTTACATTCAAGGCGCTCTGGCAGTGTAGTGGTTACCTATCGGGCTGCCAACCTCAGGGTTGGCAGTTCGAAACTATCAGCTGTTCCACGGGAGAAAGATGAGGCATTCTGATCCCGTAAACATTTGTAGCCTCAGAAACCCTGTGCAGGGTCATTATGAGTCGGAACCAACTCCACAGTCCTTAACAACAACACCACCTCACATTCAGATAACGGGAAGTAATTGGTCAGCTATTCAAATACTGAGTATTATGTTCAATTTTAAATCGCCACCTCCCAGCAAGTTGAAGAACATCTAGCTATTCTGTGCAATCTAACCTTTAAGAAGCAGATCAATAACAGCTTTGAATGGCTTGGGTTTCTCACAATTGTATTTTCTAATCCCAATATAACTGTCTTTTTCATACTCATCTGCCTCCTGGACCTCTCCTGAACTTAGGTAGAAGCAACCATCTCAGTTTAACTGTTGAAAACATATTTCAAACTTGATGTGCAAAACTGAACTCCCAATTAACTATCCCAAGGCCAAGGTGAGTCTTCCTAGTCTTTACCATCCTTATTGTTGCTGTTGTTGTTAAGTGCCGTCGAGTCAATTCCAACCCATAGCGACCCTGTACAGGGTTTCCAAGGAGCAGCTGGTGTGCTTGATCCGCCAACCTTGCAGTTCAAATGACTTTGCAGTCTGGCCCATTAACCCACAGCGCCACAACAAATGGTAATTCTCTTTCCAATTTCTCAGGTCCAAACCCTTCCCCCCCTCTGCTCTTTTTCACAAGTCCACATCTAATCACAGCAGAAGGTCCCATGAGTCTACCTTCGAAATCTGTCTGATGGCTGAGCACATCTCTCCAACACCACCGCGATCAGCTCCATCTCAGCCACATCTCAACTAAACTAACACAACAGCTAACTGGTTTTCCCTGCTATGATCAATCCCCATAGAGATTTACTCTCCAAAATAGCAACTCTTTAAATACTACATCCAATCAAGTCACCCCTTTGCTCAAAAGTATCCAATCTTCCCCTTCATTCTGGCATATTTGCTACTCCTGGAACACCCCAAGTGTGTGTGCTCCTGGCAGCTCTTTAAAACACTGCCTGTTTTGTAGACCTGTAATGCTCGTTCCCTAGACATCCATGCACACCGTTCAAAGGTCATCATCTATTTCAACTTGCAAGCACTTCTCCAGGCACTTAGGATCAACCCTACCCAGCTGTTTATACTTCAACAGAATCCATTACCTGATTTATTCAGTATGTCTGGCATTGCCAGTGAGACTGTAAGTTTCCATAAGGGGAAGAATGCCACCATTTCTGAAAATAGTCTTTATTTAATAATAGTTGGACTAAACTCGATAAACTAACCTATAGTTCTATCAACTTAAAATCTTCTCAGAAAACCATGAACCACCATGTTACACACAAGCTTTCAGAAACCATACTCGTACTTCCGTATTTCCTGGCTCTGTTTTAAATGTAATGTGAAAAGCACCACCACCACCACAAGGGTACGCAGAGCATCAGCAAAACTTTATGAAAAGATTTAAATGAATCAGTACTCTGCCTACTACTACTGACAAATACTTGCTCAAATGTGTACAGTTCACTCAGTTTTTCATCCTTGCATGCTTCAAAACCCAGATGTAACAGCACCGCCCACACAACACAGAACCAGTACTAACCTGTAGCATGGCAACAGGGGGAGGGAAAACCTCTGCCTGGGTTGTGACCACGGTCTCCTTTTCAACGGGAGGTGGAGGACTTGGAGTCGTCTGAACCGGTTCTTTTACAGGTTCTGCAGTTTTCACTGTCTCCCACTCTAAACAAAACATTGGAAATGGATTTCCTTGACTAGGTGTAACTCCATTTTCTTCCCATGTCTACACTCGTTTCATTCACCCTTTGCAATCAATCCATTCACACCTTTAGGATGTGTCCACAATAGCCCGGGTAAACAAGGAGTCCTAAGCTTGGCATAGGAAACCTGCATGAAGGACACTAAGAGATTCTGGCTAACATACATGCACAAATGTGCAATAGTAGAGATATGACAGCTGGTCTGAGAAAGGTGGCCTTTATTCTATACTTTCTCACAATGTTCAACAATACAGAAACTTCTTCTAAGGAAAACAGAGTAGCTCAAACAAACAACCAAGAGACAGAGCTAGAAAATGCTTTGAGGAAGAAGAGGCACTAGAATTACCTGAAAAAGAATTCTGGAGAATGATACTGAGGTACACATCCAAACATTTCACAAAAAAGGCAAGAAAACAAAGAAGAATTCAAAAAAGTGCTACAGGAACAATCAAACAAAACAGATATAGCACTGGAGGCAATACAAAATCTGCAACAAAAATCCAGAAGATCAATAATACTAAGATACCAAAAATGGACAATATATTGAAAGGGCAAAGGAGTAGAATCGAAATCAATGGAAACCAGAATTAGCAGTCTTAAGATAAATTTCTCAACACTATTAAGATAGAAGAAAAACTGAAAAAAGAATGAAAAAATATGAAGAAAGCCTGAGATTCATGTGGGACAACATGCAATGGAATAACCTACAGGTCATAATTCCAGAAGAGGAAGAGACAAAGACAACCACACAAATGATAGTCAAAGAGCTGCTAGAAGAAAATTTCCCTAACATCATGAAATATGAGATGGCTATGTATTCAAGAAGCTGAATGAACATGGACACTGAACAGCATTCTGCTACAAAGCCAATAGGTACTAACACAAATAAAAAACAAAAGAAAAATGTCTTGTAGCAAACGAGACTGACAACACAACATACTGAAACCGTTGGGACACCGGAAAAGCAGTGTTAGAGGGCAATTTATAGCAATCAATGCACAAATCCAAAAAGAAGAACCAAAATTAACACATTAACACAATACCTCCAACTATGAGAAAAAGAGCAGCAAACTAAGCCTACAGTCACCAGAGGAAATAACAAAGACTAAAGCAGAAATAATTGAATTAGTAAACAGAAAAACGATTCCTCAGACATCTGGTGATGTCACACCAGAACCAATGGAAATAAAAGTAACAGAATACTACGAAAGCTTATTATGTTCCAATAAATCTGAAAATCTGGAAAACAGGAAAGACCACATGATCATATCAATTGATGCAGAAAAGGCATTTGACAAAATCCAAAAAACATTCTTGATAAAAACACTCAACAAAGTAGGAACTGAAGGGAAAATTCCCAACATAGTTAAGAACATAATTAACACAATTAATACAAAACCAATAGTCAACATCAGACTCGGTGGAGAGAAACTCAAAGCCTTCCCTTTGTCAGCAGGACCCAGACAACAATGCCCTTTATCACCACTCAGTTCAATACTGTATTGGAAGTCATAGCCACAGCTATAAGGCAAGATAGGGAAATTTAAAGGAATCCAAATTAGCAAAGAAGTAAAACTATTTGCAGATGATATGCTCCTATACATAAAAAATCCAAAAGAGTCAGCAAAAAACTTATTGGAGCTCACTGGAAGATTCAGTGAAGTGGCAGGGTACAAGATCACTAAACAAAATTCAGTTGTATTCCTCTACACTAAAAAAGACCGTTCTGACAAGGAAATGAAAAAAAATACCATTTACAATAGCCACCCAAAGGATGAAATACTTAGATATAAATCTAACCAGAGAACCACAAACCTGAACAAATAAAACTACAAAGCACTACTACTAGAAACGAAAAGAGATGTTCAAAAATGGAAGGATATACCATGCTCATGGATAGGAAAACTTAGCACTATGACAATGTCAATAGTACCCAAAGCAATCTACAGATACAATTCACTTCCAATCCAAATTCCAACAATGTTCTTTAAAGAGATGGAAAAAAAGATCACAAACTTTATATGGAAAAGAAAGAGACCTCAGAGAAGCAAAGCACTGCTTAAGTAAAACAAAGTTGGAGGTCTCTCACTCCCTGATCTCACAAAATACTACATAGACATAGTGGTCAAAAGAGCCTAATACTAATACAATGGAAAAGAATCAAGAAACCCAAAGTAAATCCATCCACATACAGAACTTATCTTTGACAAAGGGCCACAACACAAAAAATGAGAAAGTATAGATAGTGACTTCAACAAATGGTGCTGGCAAAACTGGAAACTGATTTGCAAAAGAATGACACAAGTCCCATAGCTCACACCATATACAAAAATACATTCAACATGGATGAAGACCTAAATGGAAAACCTAGAACAATAAAGATCATCAGTGAAAAAATAGGAACAAACGTAGGGGCTCTAATATATGGCAAACATACCCTATCCAACATGCCACAAAACAACAAATAATAGCAGAGTAGCAGACACAATAGATGACGGGGACTTGCAAAAATCAGAAACTTCTGTGCATGAAAAGATTCCTTCAAAAGAGTAAAAAGGGAGCACCACAATATTGAATGAAACCATTATTGTAAAGGCTTAAAAAATGGTTTCCATACCTGGTGTAGTGGCATAGGAGAAGCACTTGATCTCAAGGTCGGTTTGAACCACAAGGTCACAGGTTCAAACTCACTAGACACTACTCAGAAACCCTATGCAGGGTTGCTTTGAGTCAAAATAGACTCAACAGAAATTAAGAACAATAACAACAAAAACGGAAAGAAACATTCTTCGATGGATACCAGGAGCGGGACAGAGGGGAGAGTACTATACTGGCTAGAGGGTAAACAAATGTCAGGGAAGGCAATATATAAGAAGGGAGAGTATAATACACAAGAGGGAGGGTGAAGGATAAACAATGAAGATAGGGAAGACTTAGGGAGGTATTATGCATGGACTATATGGAGTAGAGGTAAATAGTGATGTATATACACAACCTTGGAACAACAGTGTTCTGTGGGTTGATAGGTGGATCAAGACATAGGCTGAATGGGTAAAGGAGTGGAGGGAATGTTTATGCGTTTGACAGTCTTGTGGATACTGGTTTCCCCTGACTAATACTGTAAAATAGACATTTATAGGTGATGGAAATTACTATTGAAAATTATGATTACAGAAAGCTTGTAAGCCCGTCTTCACCCAACAACTGACTGAATTTGCTAAAAGTCCATACAGAATTTCTCCATGAAAATAGGCTTCTTTTGAAACCTGGGTAGAGAAGGGGGCCTTTGGTGGAATCTTGAACCACATCCAGAACCTTCTGAGTTAAGACATTCCCATTTGAAAAGCTATTCAGACCAATTCAAAACTGCTGGGAAATAATCAGATTCTTACTGATAGAAAACACCAGCGGAACAAAAAGCAGATTGCTTGGCTGTTTGAGTTCCAAGCAAACTGTTTGCTTTGGAGGCATCAAGGCAAGTCCAAATAGCCCAGCAGAGAAAATCCTTGTCTAAGCCTGAAAAAGTCTTAGTATGCTTGCTGGTGACCACTTTGGGTCTCCTTGTGAGAAGAAGTGGGGAAATGCAGGAACAGACACCTGGCTGAGTATGGTCATGTCCCACTGACATTCAATGACCTTGAGATAAGAGAGAGAAGAAGAAGGACTGGCTGGTTTGAAGTATAAGGAGCTGAGTGACCTCCTGATCCACAGGCATTCATCTAGCCCCTGGCAGCTAAGGCTGAGAGTGAAGTGGCCTGCTTGTCTGAAGGTCTAGGAGGTGTGTTTGAACTCCCAAGCATGCAGCTAGTACACATCTGACTTAACATGCATAGCTAGCGGACCAGAACTTGAACAGGTGAAGATAAATGTGTTTGTTACTGTGAGCAAGTGTAAATTATTACAATGTGATGAACTGGACTTTTGCTTATAGGTGCAGTTGCTCAAAATTCCAACTGAAGTGGAAGGATTCGTCTTATCAAGGAATAAGCTTATTCCCTCAATGTACTGGGTTGACAGGGATGGGCAACTTAGACATTAGCTCCCATAAAGGCATGAAGTAGATGGCTTACAAGCGTTCATGTGTGTGCTGTTTCAGAACAAGGCGAGTAAGCTAGAATCCCCACTGAATACTGTTCCTCTTTTCCAGATGGATCCGGTCAAAGGGAAGGGGTATGATGGTGATAGGATTTTAAGATTCAGTAGTGAGTAAATATCAGAAGTATTCATTGTGATTTTCACAACTGTAATTGTAGAAAGATATGTAACTAAAGGGGAAGAGCAGTTATTCTTTCATTTCAGGAAGACGATCCCAGGACCATCAAGAATGAAGAGCATGAGTGGAGCATGAGATCCCTGACTTGAAAAGCAGAGACAGCAGCGACGTGGCCTGGAGACATAGAGCAGCTACGGGCTCTAGACAGATGAACTGAGTGGGGCTGTGGGCCTGTGGAACACATCATCAATGTGGCAAGTTCAGGCTGAAGCTGAAGAAAATGAAAACAAATCAACAAGAGCCAAAATATGACCTGGAACATATCTCACCTGAAATCAGAAATCACCTCAAGAACACATTTCAGGCATTAGACTCTATAAAGAGCAAAGAACAGAAGAGAAGACATCAACAACATCATAACAGTAAGGAAGGAAAAGGTAAAGCTAGAAAACCAAAAGGGAATGACACACGTTCAACATTTCTCAAACTAAGGGAACTGAAGAAGTAGTTCAAGCCTCAACTTGTAATACTGAGGGATTGCATGGGCAAAATGTTAAATGATGCAGAAAGTATCAAAAGATCATGGAAGGAATACACAGAGTCACTGTACCAAAAAGAAGCAGTCAACAATTTAAAGAGGTTAACAACAAATGATCAAGAGTCAATGATACTGTAATTCCTATCCCCTCTGTATACAGCATTGACAGGTATGGGCAACTTAAGACATTGGCCACCTAAAATGAGGGGGCAATAAAGGCACGAAGTGACTGGCTTACAAGTTTTCAAGAGGGAGTCTAGTTTTAAGAGTATGTGAGGGAAAACTGAGTCCCCACTGAACAGTTTTCATCTTGTCTAGACGGATCTGATGAAAAGAGATGGGGATAAGATTCTTATGATTCAATAGTGATTAACTGCTATCACGACTAATTGCAACTGTCACAACTGTAAAGGTAGAATTTCTGTAACAACAACAAAAAAAAGAGAGGTGTAGTTAATCTTATACAGTCCAGGACCAGAGGACCCTAGGACCATCAAGGGAGAAGAGCACAAGGGAATATGGGACCCTATCCAGAGAAGCAGCAACACCAGAAATGAAGGCAGAGGTGAGGACATGGAGAAAGGGAGCAGCTGAGAACTCTAGACTCGTGGAAAGAGAAAAGCTGTGTACTGGTGGCCAGGAGGTAGGCTTGCAGAATGTGTCCTTTGGTTGTTTAAATCATTATATATTCCTGAGTGTTTCTGTGTACACCTCCCCTCCCCAAAAAACAAAAACAAAAGGAATAGAAGCAAATACTGTTGAATGATTATGCACGGAGGAGACTGTAATCATTGCAGTGAAATGATGAGTGTAAAACTGATGTTCTCCCATGTAAACTCAATTCACAATAAAAACTTAAAAAACAAAAAAAGAAGAGTTAATGATATTAAAGGAAGAAGTCCAAGACGCATTGAAGATGTTGGCAAAAAACAAGGTGCTGGGAAATGATGGAATACAAATTGAAATCTTTCAGCAATCACGCAAAGCACTGGAGGCACTCTCTCATCTATGCCAAGAAATTTGGAAGACAAGTCAAATGACTGGAAGAGATTCACATCTGTGCTTATTCCAAAGAGAGGTGAGAGAATGGAATATGGAAATCATTGGACACTATCACTAATATTGCATATACAAATAAAATTTTGCTAAAGATAATTAAAAAACAGCTGCAATGATATATTAACAGTGAAATTCCAGAGGTTCAAGCTGGATTCAAGAGAGGATGTGGAATGAGAGATATCACTGCTGACAGACACCAGATGGATCCTGGCTGAGAGCAGAGAATATCAGGAAGATGTTTACCTGTGCGTTATTGACTATGAAAAGGCTTTGGATTGTGTGGATCGAAAGCTATGGACAACATTCTGGAGCACTTAATCGTGTTCATGAGGAACCTGTATATAGACCAAGACACAGTTGTTCGAACAGAACAAGGAAACACTTTAATGGTTTAAAATTAGGAAAGGTGTGCGACAGTGTTGTATTCTTTCACCATACTTATTCAACCTGTATGCTGAGCAAATAATCCAAGAAGCTGGATTCTATACAGATAAATGTGGCAGCAGGGTTGGAGGAAAACTCATCAACAACCTGCAATATGCAGATGATACAACCTTGATTACAAAAAAGTAAAGAGAGCTTAAAATGCTTACTGATGAAGATCAAAGACCACAGCCTTTGGTATGGGTTGCACCTCAATGTAAAGAAAACAAAAGTCCTCACCACTGGACCAATAAATAAGATCCATATAAATGGAGAAAACACTGAAGTTGTCAAAGATTTCATTTTACTCAGATCAACCATCAACACTCATGGAAGCAGCAGTCAAGAAATCAAATGATGTACTGTACTGGGCAAATCTGCTGCACAAGACCTTTTTAAAGTGTTGAAGAACAAAAGATGTCAATTTGAGGACTAAGATGTGCCTGATCCAAGCCAGGGTATTTTCAATAACCTCACATGCATATGAAAGTTGGACAGTGAATAAAGAAGACTGCAGAAGAAATGATACATTTGAGCTATGGTGTTGGAGGAGAGTATTAAAGGTATCGTGGACTGCCAAAAAAGCAAACCAATCTGTGCTTTAAGAACTACAG